TCACATCTTCTCTTCTTATTTCATCTCATCTCACCTCATCTCTTCTCATTTCATATCATCTCATTTCACCTAATCTCATCTAATCTAATCTAATCTCACCTCACCTCATCTCTCCTCTTCTCATTTCTTCTCATCTCACTTCTTCTCCTCTCATTTCATGTCATCTCATTTCATCTCATCTCACCTCACCTCACCTTACATCTTCTCTTCTCATTTCATCTCATCTCATTTCATCTCATCTCATTTCATCTAATCTTATTTATCTAATCTCATCTAATCTCACCTCACCTCACCTCTTCTCATTTCAGCTAATCTCATTTCATCTAATCTCATTTCATCTCATCTCACCTAACCTCACCTCACATCTTCTCTTCTTATTTCATCTCATCTCATTTCATATCATTTCAACTTAACTCACTTTATTACATTAACATCTCTTCTTATCTCAACTCATCTTACCTTTTCAAATCTCATCTCATCTCATTTCTTCTCTTCTCTTTCCTTCTCATCTAACCTCTCTTAATCAGCACATCTGTATCTCTGCCGCCTGCAACCCTACGACACATTACCAACTTTGTACCTACGCCACAAACAGATCTAATTTTCATCGCCAGCCAGGTTGTGCTTAAATCAGTTTTCCCTGCATGTTCGCGTCGCCGAGGCAATATTCATTGTTTTTGATACTTTATGCGTATTTGTTCGTAACTTTCATTAGTTTTTGTGAGAAATCCTACTCTGTTGAGCCATCTTCAAATAATTTATGCAGTACTAGTAAATCTTTCTGACAATTAACAGAATACGAATTCGTCAAAGAAGTTTGAGTTATTAGTTTCTTTGCGAAAGCCAATTCCTAATAAATATAATTTCATGTTATCATATTAAGCGGAAGATTTTAAGATCACCCGTTTCAAGTGGTTCATAAGCCGATTCCCTCAATCGAAGCCCCTCTTTTCGGCACATCCGCGAGAGACAGACATTGAAGGCTGGCAAGTGAAGATGAAATAACTTCAGGGAATCGTCCTCATCGCAGCTGTCCTCGCCATGCACTGTTGGATTAAGCGCTAAATGCTTCGCAAAACTGGTTCCCGTGTCACTTGTGTCTAGGCTCCATCGCGGCCGCGCCTTCGAGACGCCACCCAGCCCCAGTTTCATCGACGGCGTGGACGGAGGTGTCTTCGAGAAGGCAGCATCCTTCGTGGCGCCAGTCGGACTGTCGCCGGCTTCTTGACGGTTCAACGACACAGTCAGACTGTTGATGGGGTTGACCCTTGAAGCGAGGCTGGTGGTTGGTTTTCGCTGTCTGAGGAGGCAGCCATTCTTGCCGACCGAGCAGATCCTGATCCCGCTCCTCCCCTCCCCCTCTTCTGGCCGGCTACCTGTCGATTCGAGGCTGTCTCGTGAGTTGCCCCAAAGCGTCAGTCTGGCGTCATCGTCCAAAAGTGGCGCCGAGGCACTGGGACCCGCGGCGGTATTATTGGAGGCGGAGGTGAAGATGATACCGTCTTGACTGCTGCAGTCG